AGAGATTAGATACACACAGTCCATTTAAAATTGTTACTATAATCAGATTGTCTGTATTAACAATTTGGTACTCATCACAAAGAGGTTGGGTGTTTGTCCAACCTGTACCTTTGAACTATTTCTGAGCACATAACATAATGTATTCTGACAAACCCCATGTGCTTCTCATTCAAATACCCTTCATAAGAACATTGGAGACTTTCCTAGATGCATCATCTGGCAAGTTAGCAAAAAAATGAGTAAAGAAACTCTAGCCTGTCTGAAAACATGCTTAGAATAGCAATCTAGTTTTCAGGATCACCCTGATGCATCTATTGTTGGCTAAGGGCAAGCAGGCAGGCTTTTGTAGAGAAATGGAATTTAGGAGGAGTTTCCTGAGTGGTGCTAGTGGTAAAGAATCTGTGGCCGATGCAGGAGGCAGAAGAGACATGGGTCTCATCCCTGGGTCAGGAAGATCCTCTGGAGAAGGAAATGGCAAGCCACTCCAGTCCTCTTGCCTGGTAAATCCCAGGGACAGAGGAGCGTGGCGGGCTACAGTGCATGGAGTCATGAGTCAAGAAGTGTCTGGTGCTGGGATGGATCCTTAAGGTGGAAATTTGTGGCAAAAGCAGTTTTTCTGTGGTTGGAGTGGCCCATATTCTTGGTTAGCAGCTCTCTGAATAGGCACCAATTTATCAGATGCAACAAATTTACAGAAATGATAGGTACTATTCAGGAAGCATTTGTCTTGTGCTAGATTCTATACTAATTGCATCACACTTGCTGTAAAAGTGAGAGAAATTGTTTGATAAATAGACAAATAGATGGGGAAACAATGGAAACAGTGAGAGACTTTCTTTGGGGGGCTCCAAAATCACTGCAGATGGTGACTGCAGCCATGAAATTAAAAAACGCTTGCTCCTTGGAAGAAAAGCTATGATCAACCCAGACAGCATATTCAAAAGCAGAGACATTACTTTGCCGACAAAGGTCCATCTAGGCAAAGCTATGGCTTTTCCAGTAGTCATGTATGACTGTGTGATTTGGAATATAAAGAAAGCTGAGCACCAAACAACTGATGCTTTTGAACTGTGGTATTGAAGACTCTTGAGAGTCCCTTGGACTGCAAGGAGATCCAACCAGTCTGTGCTAAAAGAAATCAGTCCTGAATATTCATTGGAAGGACTGATGTTGAAGCTGAAACTCCAATACTTTGGCCACCTGATGCAAAGAACTGACTGATTGGAAAAGCCCCTGATGCTGGGAAAGATTGAAGGCAGGAGGAGAAGGGGATGACAGGGGATGAGATGGTTGGATGGCATCACCGACTCAATGGACATGAGTTCGAGTAAACTCCGGGAGTTGCTGATGGACAGGGAGGCCTGGCATGCTGCAGTCCATGGGGTCACAAAGAATCAGACACGACTTAGTAACTGAACTGCCTGACTGAAGATATGAGAGAAGAGTATTAATTATTCCCTCTTTTACCAATGAAGAAAACAAGGCTCACAAAACATAACTTGAGAAAAATAATACTTTTTTAAAAATAAAAAATGTAGAATTTAAACCCAGTTTGATCTTCTCTAAAATTTTTTTCTCTACAAACAGTATCTTCAAATTGCTAAAAAAAAAAAAAAAACAAAAAACACCACTACAGGTTCACTAAGACACTTTAAAAGGTACATGGCACAGAGAGTTTTAAGAAAATTTATTTTGATCTTTCTCCCAAATATATTTTATTAAAATCATTCTGAATGAGAAATCTCCTGAGATTCTTCTTTACCACCTACCCTTGCTTAATCTCCCTTCAACTTTTCAGAAGAAAGGTGTACCTCCAGCCTATATCCATACTTAATCACAGTACACTCCCAGAAGAGGTAAAATCATACGAGGTACTAAACCAGCAGAGAACTCAGAATATTGGTGCCAGTGTTGCTGGAATGAATGGCTCTAATGAAAAGTAGCGAGTATCTTGAAAGTTAAGTGCTTTGTAAATAAATGCACTTATAGCTACTTTCATCAAAGAATTTTTGTTTGAGTTGTCACTGATGGATTAGATTATTTTGATGCTGAATCAGCTATGTCATTTTTGGCATATACTAAAAAAAGACTTTAAGTAATTAAGTGAAACTCCTGTAAAAATCTTTTTATTACCATCTAGTTTTTTATGAGAATAAAGTTTTCAAGACTAATGATTTTTTTTTTAATTTAGAATTGAAAATATGGTGAGCCTTATTCTTTCTAGCAACAACTATTGCAGGGTATTATAGATATCTGCAATAATTTTTAACTAACAGATGTTAGTCACTCAGTCGTGTCTTACTCTTTATGACCCCATGGACTGCACCCCACCAGGCTCCTCTGTCCATGGGATTGTCCAGGCAAGTATACTGGAGTGGGTAGCCATCCCTTCTCCAGAGGATCTTCCCTACCCAGGAGTCGAGCCTGGTCTCCTGCATTGCGGGCAGATTCTTTACTGTCCGAGCCACCAGGAAGCCCTTTTAAATAACAATCTTTCATACATATTGTTAAGAAATGAATTTTCAATAAAACTTTACTTTTTATATTTAATAACTTTTGTAAAATATTTAGTGTTACATCATTCTAATAAAATATGTATTACTAAAATTTTTAGTGACAATCTAGATTATATTGTCACATGAAGTTTTTAAAAGGTAATTTTAACTTCTATACCTAGTTTTGTTGCAGAAAAGTATGACAGGATGATGAATTTTTTTAAAAAATTTTAAGCATAATATATAACATTTTTGCATACTCCTGTGGGAAAACAGAATAAGAACATGAGATCTAGTGGGAAAAAAAGGAAATCCTATAAAATTTCAGACTATAATAGAAGAGTTTGGGAACTTTGATTATGGATGATGGCAAATATCAAACCATTACACTGGATACATTTTCATAAGGTGATTTCAAATTTTTATTTTAAAATTTATACTATTTGCAATATCTACCCCTGAATTTTTTCCTCTAAAACTATTTGCAATTATAAGTAAAGAAATTTAGAAAGTACTTAAAATATGTGAGAGCATACCTAAAAGATGGTTTTAAAGCTTTCATTTTGTTCTACTCAAAGATAGAAGCTTAAAGACCATTGCACTGCAGAAGTTCCCCCATGATATATGACTTATTACTAATAGGAAAAGCAATTAACCAATGCATTTAAGAGCTTAAGTTCTGGAATAAAACAGGTTTGTGTTCCAACCTTAGCTTCTCTTATTTGCTTTTTAATCTTAGACAATTTGCTTAAACTCTCTAAACTGCTTTATCCAAATTTACATAACAGAGATTATGAAGATATCTAATTTGTAGAACCATTCTGAAGGTTACATGAAAATAATCATGTTAAGCTTTTAGGAAAATCCCTGTACATATTAAGAACCATGTATATACAATCTTGGGCTTCTCGGGTGGTGCTCGTGGTAAAGAATCCACCTGCCAATGCAGGAGAAGCAAGAAATGTGGATTTGATCCCTGGGTCAGGAAGATCCCCTGGAGAAGAAACGGCAACCCACTCCAGTCTTCTTTCCTGGAAAATCCCATGGATAGAAGAGCCTGGTGGGCTATAGTCCATGGGTTGCAAAGAGTCAGACATGACTGAGCAACTGAACTCACACACACAGACACAATCATAAAAGTTGTCATACACAAGCAATGTCAGAGGGGAGAGAGAAGTGTGTGGTCTTGGGCTAAGCTTCCGGAGGTAGCTGGGCTTGATATTGTATCTGAGAATGAGTATAAAAGCTCAAAAGGAGGAGACGAAAACATCAGCTGAGGGGGCAGAGATGCTGTCAACCACAGCGGTAGGAGAAGACAAACCACTGAACTCAGAAGTCAAGAGCTGCACTTTAAAAATGAAGCTGACAACAAAATATCCTAACTGTTTGAAAGGAAGCTAGTTTCCCTTTGCCTCCTATTGTCTGCACTGTTTCTATCCTACCTTTTAAAATAAAATTATAACCTCACAGTTTCTGTTTTCCTGATAATGCTAAATTTTGAAATTCAATAAGTCCTTGGCATTTTCCTTCAGCTTGGTTCTGATTTACAGTTTAACTGTGTTCCTCCCACTTTGTTTGATTTTATATCTGAGTTCTACTTTTTTGTGTGTGTTTTCCCTGAATGGACACTGAAATGATATCATACTTCACCTATTCCCTGGTAATGTATGGGAGAGAACACAATATCAAGAGCTCAGATGTTGCCGTCTAACTGATATGGGTTAAAATACCGACTCGGCTACTACCTGTGCAAGCTTGGGAAACTCAGGACTTTTCTGAGCTTCATTTTTCTCTTCTTTCCAGTGGGGATAATTTCTAATCAGCAGAGCTGCTGCAAAGACTGAAGGACTTATGTCACAGAAAGCATTTAACTCAATTAACATACAGAAAAAAATAACTCTTATCATAATTATTATTCCTGGTGCAATGAATAGAGCCATTTAATAGAGTCCTGATTAACTTTTAAATATTTTGCAAAATGAAACACATTACCCGAAGTCCTCCAGACTGTCAAAGATGAATTGTAATGTCAGTGGTCACAGGTTTTAATTTTCCTCTGGAATCAGAAATAAAAATTGAAAGTATCCACCGGAACTGGAAAGCAAGAGGACATATCACAGCTGGAAAGATGTTTTTAAGTGCTGACTGAAGTGACAGTGACTGTGCTGATTATCGCAAAAAGGTCTTATTACTTTTTAGGATCTAAAGGAGGAATCCTAGGCAGAAGCAACAGGATGGAACACAGATTCGCTTAGCCAATTCCATCTGGCTAATCAGTCCATTGTGACCAGATTAGCACCATTCAACTCTACAAAGATTTATTAAATGCTCACTGGGTATCTGGAATATGAACAACCCCAATGTAGAATGCATTTTATGATTGACTTTATTATTTTGAATCAGACAATTATTTTTCAAGTGCAGTTGTAATCCAAATGAGAAACTCACTTAGATTTTCAATCATTAAAACAAACTTTTTTTTTCCAATTTTCTTTTTGCCAACAGGATTTGCTAATCCGCTTACTGGGATAGCAGATGCCTCTCAAAGCAGTATGCACAATGCCTTGCACATCTACATGAACGGAACGATGTCCCAGGTACCAGGATCTGCCAATGATCCCATCTTCCTTCTTCATCATGCGTTTGTTGACAGGTTGGTTGGCACTTCATAAATTATGTGATTATTGGTTTTAAATGTAGTGGATGACTTGGTGGGCTTTTTCCACGTTCCTTTACCTGTTGGGTATTTCTCTGCTTTTTCATCTTGTTTAGATTGCTGTGTCTGGAGTGGGCTTTCTGTATTCTTGTGGTCTGTGGTTCCTTTTTATTGTGGAGGTTTCACCCAGTGGGTGGGGTTGGACGATTGGTTTGTCAAGGTTTCCTGGTTAGGGAAGCTTGTGTCAGCGTTCTGGTGCNGACAAAGGTGGAAACCTGGGATATTTTTTATAATGGGATTCTTGACTGTTATAGCTGTTAATTGGAGAGAAAAAAGCACCATGGCTAAATCTGTACCCCAGGATTTAGAGCAGATCACAGATTATATACGTACTTTTCATGTGACGATAGAATTTTGCTGCTTCCATGAGTCTGAGAAATTATGCTAGGATATCTGAACTGTTGGGACTAGCAGAAGCTGGGATGGTTTGAGAAAGAGTCACAGCTTTCTTCTTTGTGACAATTATCTCTCTGTCTCTAATACATTCTTACCAATAAATAATTTTTGAGTATTTATCAATAGCCAATATTTATCAAATATTTACTATATGAACCCTAGACACTTTACAGAGAAGATGAATGTTAAAATTACCTCCATTTCACAGATGAGGAAATGAAGACAGGAGAGAGGTTAAGTTACTAACGCAAAATCAAGTCACTCCCCCAAGTTCAATCTCTACTCAGCCGCAGAACCAGAATTCAAACCCAGGGAGTCCGACTTAACAGCCCTGGTTGGAACCATAAGGAAATGCTAGACTTAACCCTGTAGAGAGCTCGAATAACTATGACTAGGATATGGCTTTCTGTTTTCAAGTTTCTACGGAGTAGGGCTGGAGGGACCATCGGTAAAGAAATGACTTGTAAATCCATGGCTGATTCATGTCAATGTAAGGCAAAAACCACTAAAATGTTGTAAAGTAATTAGCCTCCAACTAATAAAAATAAATGGAAAAAAAAAATAAATGTAGTGGATGTCAAGAAGATGTACAAAAAGCCAACAAGTCCATAAAAAGATGCTCAGCATCACTAGTTGTTAGAGAAATGCAAATTAAAACCAAAATGAAATAGTACTTCTTGCTTGTTAGAATGGCCATCACCAAAAAGACGAGAGATAAATGCTGGGCTGGATGTGGAGAAAGGGGAATCCTTGTGCAGTGTTGGTGAAATTTGTAAACTGATATAGCCATTATGGAAAATGCTATGGAAGAGCCTCAAAAAATTAAAAATGCAACCACCATATGATCCAGCAGTCCCAACTCTGGGAATGTATCCAAAGAAAACAAAACACTTAACTTGAATAGGGCACCCCTACGTTCATAGCAGCATTATTTACAATAACCAGGATGTGGAAACAACATAAGGGTCCATCAGTGGATGAGTGGTTGAAGAAGCTGTCACCATCTCCACCTCACTCACGTTCCCAAGAACATGGATACAGTATCAAATAAGTAAACGAATATTTGCCTGGAAGATTATGAAGCAGATTTTATTGCTTTCTTGGCAACTTTAATGTTATAAGAATTAAGTAATAACCCATATCAAGTTTTATTCAGAAATCAGTTTTCAAGAAAGTGTATAAGCACCAAAAGTATGATAGCAGATAACATCAAAACCAGCAAACCTAGACATCAAGGCAGAAGGAAGAATGTTGGGAAAAATACCCTACCAGCACAGATTGGACTCTTTGCTGTTGCTGTTCAGTCGCTCAGTCTTGTCTGACTCTGCGACCCCATGGACTGCAGCATGCCAGGCTTTCTTCTCCTTCACTGTCTCCAGGAGTTTGCTCAAACTCATGTCCATTGAGTCAGTGATGCTTCCCCCCCATCTCATCCTGTTTACTGAGTCATTTTTATGTCATATTATCTTTGTGAATCTTGGGCATTTTTTTGATCTTTTGTGCCATCCCGTGAACTTTAAAGAAACCTAAATTTCCTAGATCTCTTGATGCCCCAGGCAAGAAATACGCAAACTATGGCTTTTAGGCCATATCTGTCCCTTATCTTATTTGTAAATAAGATGTAATTGGAACACAACCACAGTCATTCATCTACATGTTTTCTATGGCTGTTTTCGTGCTAAAATGGCAGAGTTGAAACAAGACCATATGGCCCACAAAATAGAAAAAATCTAGTTTCTGTTCCTTTATAAAAAACATTTCTTGACTCCTGCCAACCACCAAATTCCATATTTATAAGCCAGTTGAGATAAAATGGTTGATCTTTATCTAGTTCACCTTGATCTGTATTTATAGAAAATGTTATAATTTAATTCAATGTTTGGAGGCATTTTTAATGGAGGTAAAGCTATTATGAAGATATACAATGTTTATAAGCCTCTCCCACCTTTGAAAATTAAAATTTTCTTCTTTCTTAGAATTATTTGTTAATCCTATCTTATGGCTGCTCAGTTGTATCCAACTCTTTATGACCCAATGGACTGCAGCATGCCAGGCTTCCTTGTCCTTCCCCATCTCCTACAATTTGCTCAAACTCATGTCCATTGAATCAGTGATGTCATCCAATCATCTCCTCTGAAAAGCATCTTTATGAAGACAGACAGAGACCTGTGGATTGCTGCAACATCTGAGCCGTCCTCCTAGTTCTCAGAGTACAGAGATGTGTTTTCCAATCAGATGGTCTATTTACTACTGTTCAATTATTCACAAACAAATTTGTTTAATACCTACTGTGTGCTGAGTACATTTGCCTGAGTGTTCCACACTCATTACTGCTGCTATGCATTGCTTTTACCAGTTTTCAAATCAGGAACGTATTTTCCATGACTAATCTAATTTCTACACAATCTTCAAGACCATTTTCAATTTTTAGCTCTTCCATGATGAATGACCAGACCATAACTGTCTAAAACCATTTCTACCATCCAAAAGCATGTTGGAGCCAGCCCCAAATCACTAGCAAGGTTGAATTATGTACATATTTTCACAACTTTGCATTTGGTGATCTCAAGCGTAGCTAGAAACCAGTATTGGTAGGAGTATTTACATCAAGAAACTGGCAAATGCTACAAATCAAGACTTTCACTCTGAGAGAGCTGGTTGTTAAAATAATGGCCAGCATAATCCTGCTCCTATCTGTTAACTCACATCACTTTCTCTACTTCTTATTTTGAACACATCATTTATATCATTCTTATTGATTGTGTGCTTTTCTTATTGATCATGCTTTGTCTCTACCACTAATCTCTGAGCTACTATGGCAGGACCCACATCTTGAATTATATCTGTTTTTATTCCCCACAACATTTTGTCTACTTTGTAATTAGAAGATCTGTAATAAATCTGTATCAAATAAATAAATAAATGAAAAAAATCTTAGCAAGTTACTTTCATCATAGCTACAAAGGAAACTACAGAGAAGTCAAGTCTGGTAAAGCACAAATCATTCAAAGCTATAAACTTGCTTCAAGATTTAGCATGTTTCTAGACCATTAGACCTTGTTCTTGACATTGGCTAAATAGGATAATGAGACAAGATCACTGGCTTAAAAAAGCTTAGTCTAGTGGGGAATACAAGCAAGTAAACAACTATAGTATTTTATAATTCATTACAGGATGATATATGAATGGCGCTCTGAAGAGCAGGAGGCCTACAAGACAAGAAGGGTATTCAGGATTGGGAGAATAACTCTTACTCACTAAAACCAGGCACAAGTTTGAAATAGGAACTGAAGAAAAAAATGGAAACTTAGGGGCCAAAAACAAGGAAATATGCCTCAAGGCACATGTGTAGAGAAAGTGAGAAGATTCCAGTGACCAATTAGCTTACCACCAAAATGTACCATTATTGGGCAAATAAAGATATCAGTTCAGTTCAGTTCACTTCAATCGCTCAGTCCTGTCTGACTCTTTGCGACCCCATGGACTGCAGCACGCCAGGCCTCTCTATCCATCACCAACTCCCAGAGTTTATTCAGACTCATGTCCATTGAGTCAGTGATGCTATCCAACAATCTGATCCTCTGTCATCCCCTTCTACTCCTGCATTCAATCTTTCCCAGCATCAGGGTCTTTTCCAATCAGTCAGTTCTTTGCATCAGGTGGCCAAAGTATTGGAGTTTCAGCTTCAGCATCAGTCCTTCCAATGAATATTCAGGACTGATTTCCTTTAGGATAAACTGGTTGGATCTCCTTGCAGTCCAGGGGACTCTCAAGAGTCTTCTCCAACACCACAGTTCAAAAGCATCAATTCTTTAGTGCTCAGCTTTCTTTATAGTCCAACTCTCACATCCATATATAAGTATTGGAAAAGCCATAGCCTTGACTAGACTTGACTTGACTTGACTACTCTTAGATTGAGGATAAATCATTTTCATTAAAAATTCACTCATTCATCAAGCATTTTAAGTTTTTACTATATTCTAGATACTATGCCAGTAACTGTGCCTTTTTATCTATTGGTACAGATAAAAAGGCCTGACCTCCAGATACTTTGTTGTTGTTTAGTAGCCAAGTTGTTCCAACTCCTTGCAACCCCATGGACTGCAGCACACCAGGCTTCCTTGTCCTTCACTGTCTCCTGGAGTTTACTCGAACTCATGTCAGTGATGCTATCCAACTATCTCATCCTCTGTCGCCCCCTTCTCCTTCTTCCCTCAATCACTCCCATCATCAGATCTTTTCCAGTGAATTGGCTCTTTGCATCAGGTGGCCAAAATATTGGAGCTTCAGCTTCACCATAAGTCCTTTCAATGAATACTCAGGGTTGATTTTTTTAAGATTGACTGGTTTGATCTCCTTGCAGACCAAGAGACTCTCAAGACTCTTCTTCAGTACCACAGTTTGAAAGCATCAGTTCTTTGGCTCTCAACCTTCTTTATAATCCTTCAAAAAGACAGGAGACAAAAACACATAGCAATATAACACTATCACCTGAATCTCCTTCATTGCAGGCAAATTCTTTTTGGTTGAACTGCCCAGGA